TTCAATTATTATACAGGATAAAGAGCATTTTTAGGCTTTTGCAAACTTACTTTTCACAAATTTATTATGGCAATTAGCTTTCTCGTTCTTTGAGAAAGTAGTAATAAGTGGGTTAAATCTTTTCCCCAAGAAGTTTCGAGCATTTGTCGAAGTTGTATAAAAATATAAATATAACAAAATAATTACACTACAGTAACACAGATAAAGTATTTTAAAATTCTATAAAACTTGATAGAACTAATACTTGATAATTTTTTTTAAATTAACACAGAGAAACTGACTTCGAAACCTCTTCTTTAATAACAAATACGTTCTAATGATTGGATTAGATTATCTTTATTGTGTCAAAGCGTACGAGGGTCATTTCCCTACATTTATTCTAAGAATTGATTTGATTATTGCATTACGACTAAACGTACTAACGCTATTTGTCTGATGAGAGAAATGCTTCGCTTGAAGACTTTGTAAGAGAAACTTATTTTTATTGATATTGCACATGGGGAAAACCATAAAAAATCCTTTCCAGCACAGCTTGTTCTTCCAAATTTGAGCACAGATGAAACTATCAAAATTCAGCTGTCTTATCCGCTCAACCATTAATGGGTAAAATATATTTTTATTTAATATAGAAAATGTATAGAATTGTACTTATATATTCTTCTTTAAAGATCATATATAGTCCAAAAGCTTTCTAAGGTAAACTGGATCATAATCGCGCTACGCACTAAAAACCCACGAAAAGTTCACGCAGCAAGCCTGTTTGTTAGGAACCGAGCCAGGATGAACTGCTAACTGTAATGTACAATTTTTAGTACAGATGGAACCAAAACGAAAGAATATCTTGAATTTGGATCGGAGTTTTCTATTATAAATTAAATATTTTTCTGCATTTAAAAAGTGTAAGTTTCCTTTATCTTAATTAATCAGTTATTTTGTGTTTTGGATCTTTACTCCCACTTATTCTTTCCATTTTCTCGTCAGAATGCGAATTAATTGGCGTGTACTTTAGGTGAGGATTTTAAATTCTAAGGCAGAGCGTGTTCTGCCTCTTGAAACCTAGTTACTAGGTTGCTACAGTCGATAAAACTTGTAGTGTTCGGCCTTGAATAATTATTATTGCCGATAGTTGAATATCCACGCCAGTTAACGTTTGAGCCAACTTTATGTTAATTAATTTGTGTAGCCTTCGGCTACTAGTGTATTTGAATTTAAATTTTATATTTGAATTAATGTTATTTTACGTTATCTCGCCACATGTTTAGTAGAGTTTATGTAGAGTTTATGATTGCAAAGATTTCTAAACTTCGCAAAATAAGTACAAGATACTAGATGAAAATTTCAAGAAATTTAATAGTTAAATTATTCTATTAGATAATTTAAAAAATCTTTGCTCACATTTTCATCCAGCTGCTTAAACTTTCATAGCAGAAACTCGAAATAAAATTATTGTATCCCTCACTCTTTTATTAAACGCCTCAACAGTATCATTTACGCTTGAAGAAATACTTATGAATATAGCTGACAGAATTTTAATACATTTTATAGCTTCTACTTAAAAAATGAATTTTATTGAGTTGTAAAAATATTTTAGTCGGATTAAAACCTCTAGAAAATTTAACTTGTTTCTTTTCCTTTTTTTATTAAAAAAAGAAGCAAGAACTGTTCAAAAATAACAAAATGAAAACAGCGTCACTCCTTTTGAGGATCGACAATATAAAACTTTACGATGGTGCCAAGAAGATACTTTTTTAACATGATAACAGTGTTTAATGCATTTCTAAGAGCTTTTTGAATGTACTAGCCTCAAGAAGCCTCAAGATACCGTTTTATGGATAACAAAAGACTTTTTCTCATAAATGTTATGCGAAGAATTTATAAAACTTTTACTTCTCTAGCACATGCATGGAGGCAAATAGTTTTACTTAACTCCGTACATGTGCCAGAAAACCTCAGTCAAAATTTTATATGCATATTCTAGGAAGAATTAAATTTCTGAACTTTTCTCAAGCACAAATTGAATGATCGAACCGAACATAAAATATGCTTGTTTTATTTTGTTTAAAATATTTTAAACAACTAAAACAAAATACACGAGAACAAGAGTGCTTTGTTAAAGGATAAAACTTCTTACAACATCTTTGCTACTTAGAAATTTATTATCAAAAAAATATACCGATTGAAAAATGAAGTTTCAAGAATGAATTACTGCAAGATGAAAAGAATTCTATTAAAATACAAAGAAAATAAATAGAGAAACGTTTCCCTTCCAATTTTTCCCTCCAATGTATCTTTCGTAGTTCTTGAAAGAGGGAATAAAAATCGGAAAAATTCATTTTCTTCTTTATTTATTCGCCATTTTTATTACAAAATCCCTAAGAGAGGATATTGAATTAAACTTTATGGGTTCTCAGTCGCGCCAGAATTATGGTAAAGCTCTCTATCTTTCTCCTGTCGCCTGAAGATCATAAATTTCCACCCGTTACTAATAAGGAAAGGTATTGAATCCCGGCTCAAAAGAAAAGTTCGATAGGATTCCTAAGGATATGGTTATTCCGGTTTGATATTCCTGATTATCCTTTCGGTAAAGATGACGTAAATCAGGAAGATCTTAACATTCCTTCTTTCCTTCTTCATTTCGTTTTTGCGATTTGATTGGAAGTTATTGATTGCGAAACTTTTTTAAGAATGATTCCAATCTTCTATTAGAGATATGTCTTGAGATGCTATCAAGGAAGAGAATTGGAAATATTCGGAAAGTTTTAGGATGATGTCATTTGGAATTTCTGCTTTTTAATCTATCACTGCCAAAAATCCTAATAGAAGGTAAAGAAATGTGATATTAAAGTAAAAGTTTTCTTAATAGAGTTGAAATTTAAAAATCATGTTCATGGATTAGGAATAAAGATGGTTTCAATAATTGATTATGCAAATTTAAATAATTATCTTATTAATTTCACACCAGATTAAAGTGTACGAGATTTTGAATCCATTATAAATTACGAATGTTCTTCAAAAATTTAAATAAAAATCATAATATTAAAAATATGTTGCACCTTCATCTTTTAATAATTTATGCAGTTCATAAATTACTATTTAACACTACTGCTAGGTCTTGTTTCATAAATTCTTTTATTATTATTTTAGAAGATCTAAAATCTATTAAATGTTTTTCTGTGATGAAAACATAAAAAATCAAGTGGGCTGTCAACTGTATCATTTACAAGAATCACCCAGAATCTAAGCAACTTTCTGATGCTTTTGCTTTCAGATAGATTTCAGTTATCTCAAACTCGTGGCCGTCAAAGTTATTGTATCTATTGTAAATACTCTGTAGCAAAAATTTCAAGATTTTAGTTATTTGAAGTCCGAGGTTGCATTATTTTCATTACCATTAATGACGCATCGTAAAATTTATAAATGGAGATAATTAACCTACAGTTTGATACCTTACTCAATGATTTGTTGATTTTATAAACTCTTCTCCGTACTTATCAAAAAATTAATAAGCTCAGTTACGAATGCTCAGAATAATAATAATCGATTTTTTTGGAAAACATGTACACGTGAACAGCCTTTTCTCACAGATGAAAATTAATAACCAGATTAAACACGATTAAATTAATAACCCGATTAAATAATAACCCGATTAAAACGATGAGGATCCATAATGCAAGATGGAGATATTTTCTTTTCTCTTCAGGACTACAAACTTCAGCAAAATGTCAAGAAAAGTCAAACTGCAGTAAGAAATAAATATGTTTATAATAATTTATATACAAACATTATGTATCTTTTTATTACATTTTTACTTTAACAATGACAAAAAAAAAAAAAAAAGAACTTTAAAAGAGGAACCGCAATAACACGTTAATTAGAGTAGCATGGGTGGTGGAAACTGAGTGAAAGTAAATTTAAAATGATTAGGGTTATAGAGAAAAGATGTTTTCGGATCACTAATAACCGACATTCTGGCCAACGTACTAATGATCATCAAATTAGAATGCGATCTCAGAGTTTGAGGGGGGTTTGTAGTATCGCAATGCAGGTAAAGCTCGGAAGTGACGATTTCCTTTCCCCGTATTTAGTTACAATGGCTTTACATGAGTGTACAGATGCTTCGAAATAGAAAATATAAAAATACTCAGTATATATATAAACACTTTTATAATTGAATTTGCATCATTTTTACATAATCAAACTACTTTAACAAAATTAATTTGTTACACGATTTTCGTGGAATTCATGAAAATATTAGGAGTTAATATAGCAAGGAACTTTTAATACAAATAAAGTATTAGAGTGAATTTTTACTTTTATGAAAAGGTTATTAGTTACATTATTTATTTAAACAAAAATTAGGCTCACAAAAATATTGCTGTATGTAAAGTCTTTTAAACGTATGGGTAAAAGATTTTCAAAATTTCGAAGATATATTTTTATTTTTAGTTAGAAGTAAAATCTCATTCCCTACAAATAAAGATAAAAAACACGAGAATTCGTTGCGTTACGGCGACTCAGAGATGTATAAGGTACTGAATTTAACTTTAAGCTGCACTACTCATCAGCTTGAGAAACTGCGTCATTTAAAATTATATTTTATCTCTATTGTTAACAACATTTTGTAATTATTATTTTTAAATATAAGTGTAATAAATAAAATACAATTCAAAGCTTCAATTCTGTAGTTTACAGTAGTAAACTGCAGAATTTCTGATTCTAATTTTACTGTAATTTAGTGTCTGCACACGAAGTAAAATTGAAAGGTGATGATAAAATTTTTCAGTAATGTACAGATTGTAATATTCAAGGTGATTTTTTTATTTTCATTTTACTCAAATTGTTGTTTACTTTTTTAATATTTTCGTATGTTCCCTGTATGCCATTTTGCATGTAAAAGAAGAAAGATGAGAAAGAATAGAAGAAACTTCAAAGAAAATTTATGAGATTAATGACTAATTATGGAGAAAGATATCTGGAAATACAATAATAGAATCAATTACCTCATGCTTTCTTTCACACAAGCCCTAAGATACGGCATTTGTTCCATAGCTTGAACAGTTAAAGGCTTTCCTTCCGGTAACACTCGGTCCACTTCGTCCTGTAACCTCTTCTGGCAAGCGGGATTGGCAGCAAGATTTCTCAAAACGTAAGCGACAGACAGAGAAGTCTAGAATAAAAGAAAGAGACAATAACATTCAATATACTTATTTCACTTCACACTAATAATTAACATTAATAATCATACATAAAGTAGAGAGGAAATAAGAATTTATTAAATAATTGTGGCAAAGCCTAATAGGGCTATCTGCTTTAGGGAGAGATGTCTTCATGGCGGATGTCTAAGGGAAACTAGATCGTAGTCATACTGCCCATGAAACAAATCAAAAAAGAGTATTTCAAGGATATTCAAATATAGAAAATTTGCATTTAGAAAATTTCATAATAGTTATCCTAAAAAAGGATGTAGATTATTTAATACATTTTATATGTATTGAGTGTAAATTGACGTGTCGTCAAAATATTTCGCCCACCAGTGGCCGAATAAATGAAAGCACTGAAATCTTGCAATTCGACCTGGCTTCAAATTTTAAAGAACAGAATAGCTGCATGGGCGTTTTAAATGTTTTTCCCATAGGTATTATGCCTCAGGACATAGCTTCAGGAAAGCATCCTTTCTTATAGTCAGATGGTCATCCTCTATTGAATCAACACATTCTTTAATCTGACCCACATGTGTTTTGCCACGATCAAGTGAACATTAAACAGTATTAAAAAATTTTAAAGATAACTTGGTATTCCCAAAATAGATACAGGTCGCGTTGATTCAGTGTTCAAGTAAACTTTAGAGAACATGTTTGTTCATAGGAATTATCTCACAAAAAGTCAAATCTGGGTCATAACTAACTGTTCTAATATTTTGCAGCAATCGATAAAACAAACAAAAACTTAATATTTTAAATCTGTTTTAAAATTATCAATCTTTAAATTAGCCACAATTATCTCATTCCAACTATTATGTTTTAATCCACAAAATAATGTGTTAATAAAATACATCCTTTCAAAGAACGTAAACCCTAAAGAACTTCTGAAAGCAACAGTCGATCAATATGTCGCTTGAAACAATAAAAAAAAGATGAATTTCATTCTGTTTCACTTAACTGACTGTGTTTATGAAAGAAATTAACTAATTTGGAGAATTTACAATATTTTTCAAATTCAGTCATGTGCCTCAGACTTTCTTACTTACATAAAAATATGCCATACTGGCACAGGTAAGGTTTTACTGGGGTTACAGTCTCTGTAGCACAAATCCGCGGAATAGTTCTGTACCAGACAATGAAAACTCTACTCGTCCTACTTAAACAATAAATCAGATGTGGCTACCACATGACTTCTTTGCATAGCTTATTAAGTGATACACATTTTATGCTGCTCTTCATTTAATTTTTTTCCTCGAATTATTCTAACTTAATTAACCGATCCCTCACTGTAAATTGAAAATTATATCAAAAATTACAAATTTTGAGGTTAAATATAAGGTCAATTTTAGTCAAATTTCTTCTAATTTTATCTTTTCATAACGAGTATAAATATAAGTATAGGAACCGAGGGTCCTCATTAAAAAATTAGATTTGTTATTTGCCGAACTAATATTTTTTATCTGACATTGACAAAATAGAAATATTCTCGTCATTTAAAACACTTCTGCAATTAAAAGTATATAATTATCCCAACGATTGCCAAAATAAAGGTCTGGTAAAGACTTTTAAGCTGGGTAAGCGCTGGTGTCTATATAAATTTAATAAAGCAAACTTGTAGAGTCATTAGGATTATTTTAGGGGCAGAAAAGATGAAAAAGTGCAAACGCCTTCGCCGGGAATCGAACCACGGACCTCTGGAATACCGGCCCAGCGTGTGCAGAACCACTACACTACGAAGGACGCTAGGAAAGGGGGAAAAATACCTTATATACTCCCCTTTTTAAAGGGCGACTAAGGTTTCAGGGGACTCGTCGCCAAATCCTGGGTGCGGAGAATCATCATCCATAATCCTTTTAGTTCGGGCGCCACTTGTAGAGTCATTAGGATTTTTAGGGGCAGAAAAGATGAAAAATAGCAAACGCCTTCGCCGGGAATCGAACCACGTGCCTCTGGAATACCGGTCCACCGTGCAGAACCACTAAACCACGAAGGACGCTAGGAAAGTGGGAGAAATACCTTATAAACTTAGCATTATTGATGATGCCGAATGCTGATCCACATCGAAAAGAGAATTTGGCAGACGAGGAATCAAATATTCATCTTCATTTCAATTGACATTTGCAGCTGGAATTCACTTGACACTCTAATTGTGCCTATTCAAGAACATTTACATTTTTAATATTATTGCGAAAGAAAGAAAAGCAGCATGGCAGCGTCGTAAAGGCAACAGAGCTAAAAAGCCAAATGCGCACAGTTATCCAATATGGTAACCTATTAAGAGAAAGTTTTGGTTTAAGTTACGAGTTTGCTACTTCATCAGCGCTATGCAAGACTATGAATTGATCTAGAAATGACGCCAAGCTGAAGAAAGCATTACTATTTTTAGAATAGAGAGGGTAAATTAAGGGGCTATTTCTTGAGTTAATATTTCTTATCTTACATGCACACACACACACACACACACACACACATATATATATATATATATATATATATATATGTATTAGAGTTTACGTTTAGTTTATAACTGGTTATCTTAGGTTAATTCCTATCTTCATCATTTCCATTTTCCTGCCAGACTATGAATTTCTAACTCGCCTGATATTCAAACGAGGTGGAAAGAAGAGAGTATTTAAAGGAGGATTTTAGAGGGTAAAATCAGAACGTGTTCTGCCTGCTGAAGTCCACGTTGCTAATTTGATTTTCTTGCAGCGTTGCGTTATTCCCGCTATATTGTATTGTATTAGGCTTGTTACACCGAGCTCAGGTCACAGCCAGTTTCGCGTTAGTCAGATTGTGCAGCCGTTAGATTAATGAATTTTTTTTAGTTTAGTTATTCCATTATCTTTGATTTAAGCAGTAATTCTTGACTTCTGTAAGCACGAGTGGTGTCGTCTGTTAACTTTTATTTGAGCCAAATAAAAGGGTCCTTAACGATCTTTCCCTAGTTCTGCGGTATTTAAAAGACATAACGATAATTCCTTTTATAATCTAAGTGTTCTAGTACATTCTATGTTGCAATATATACGTATGTACTGCCCATCCGTACATTCGTTACGTACCGTCGATTGCAAAAAGGAAGGTACGCTACTTGATGCTATAGCAGTCCCATATACAAAATTTCATAGTTCTATGGCTAATCCTTTTTGAGTTATACCAGATACATACATACATACATACATACAGACGTCTCAAAAAAATCTCCTTATAATCCATTTTACAATCCGGTTGGGAGGAAAAACGTCCTTTACTCTGTTCGTACGGACAGATGTCAAGCAAAGAAATCTTCCAAATGGATTCGAGTAAGGTCAAAAGGGATATTTGTGTTGAAATACGATATCTGAAATTTTTCACGATTGCAATACTTCCTTTACTTCCTAAAAGTAAAAATGGCGCTACCATCGTAACAAAGGTACAACATAAAAAGCCATTTCTCACGCATTAAAATACTTTTGTTAACTTAATTTAATAGAGATAACAAAATACCTAAGTGAAACTGATAATAAAGTTTTAAGTTAACAATCTTACGCAGAATATGTATTTAATGGGTACTTACTGTATCTATCCCTGCGGCCATAGCATCCACGGCCATTACACTGGCGTCTCTTGGGGAACAATACTTGAGAAGTAGTTCTATTAAAGGTAGATCATTGTCATCTTCGATCAGCTTCTGTCGTTCCTCCATTCTTGCATTCACATACTGTAAAGCGCTCCTGAAACGAAAGCAGATTTCTTGCAAAATGTACATTATAAAGAATTTCTTATGTAAGTTGAGCGTCTGCGTAAGCATTCTAAAACTTATGCAATTTCTTTTAGCATTAAAAGCGTTTAATTTTTTGGCATGAGGTATGAATAAATTCACAAATAAGGCATGGGTAAAATTGTATTTCATTTGGAAATTACAAACTTTATCTTTTCTCAAATCTAGCAAAAGTTACTAACTATCACCTACTAATAAGTCTGTGCCTCTCAAGAAAAGAGATAAACAGTTGTTAAAATTTATCTCTTTCAATAAATGAATTTTTTTCGTGGGGAGACAATAATTATGGTTGATACATTTCTTAGTATAATAAACGAAAAAAATATGAAAAGTTACAAATTATTCAACATTATTTTTCAAAATATCAGATTTTAAGAAACGGTCCGTTTGTATTTTACATGTTGACGATACCATGCGTTTTTACGTGTCGATGATACGAGTTTCATATTGATGAGACTATAAACAGTAGTTCAGGTGCTTAAAAATAATTTTTGAAAATTACTACTATTGTGATAAAAATGTATCGGAAATAATTCATTAAATTCATTGTATGTTCAAGAAATCCCACGTAATGTTCATTTCTTCCTTCCCAGAAATTATAACATCATTCATGGACATATGTAAACAGTCCATATTTCATAAGTCGCTTGCTTTTATCGGTTGCAAATAAAATCATGTTTTACTTTGGATATTTCACAAAACGTTAAATTTAACTGAACAACGTCAATCAAACATTAAGGTGAATGATACCTATTTTTTCATCGTGGTGTTGTATATCCGAATTTCAATCAACTGTTGCCCACTAGCGGTCGAGCGGTAAAGTCGCTGAACACTGGTCGTTCGGTCCGTGATTCGAATCCCGGTGAACGGGCTGGTTTCATGAACATTTTTATGGTTTTACCCAGGTGTAATGTGTATATGAGCCAGTTTTCCTTAAAACATCCTCCTCGAATGCATTCCTTCCCTTAGGCAGTTGTGTGTCCTGTTGGATTTGTATGAAACAGATATATCAAGAATGACTTCCATTCTGACGAGATAACTTTTGAATTTGAACCAAGATAAGGCACGTCCTCAAAATGTTCTTGCAATTTGTCAATGTTTGGTCAAAAATTCAAAAAATAAGTCTTCGCAAATATTTTATTGATCTGATATGGACCCATGTGACTTTTTAGTCACACCGTGATAGATGCTACGTATGAATACAAAATTTCCACTACCACTTAGTAGACAACTTTTTTTTTATTTCCATTACAAAGGATTTCCTATAAGTCCGAAGGGGATTTCACGAAACCAAATTTGGAACGAGTTTCGATGATTGGGAAAATTCGTTGGTATAAGTACGTTACAGCCAGAGAGAATTATTTGAAGGGAATGCAATAAATATTAACCAATATATTGAAATATTCTGTTTTGAGCAATCGTTCCTAATATTATTTTTTGTTACAGTAATATGAATCAGCAGATAATCCTTTTTAAAACTGCTTGCATTAAGTAATATTTTGTGGATAAATAATATTCTTTTTAATAATATTATTTCGCACATGTTTCGTACAATAGCTTCGAAATACGTGTATTATTAATTCCCGTACAGTAAAGGTCAGCCATACTTAACCCATTAACCGCCAAAACTACAAGGAATGTTTCTTTTCTCATGAAAATAATAGCAAATATTAAATTAAGCATTTATAACATAAATTTACATTGAAAATAAAAAAATGCTCTTACCTGTGGAAAGCGCGAGTGTTGCGTTCGCGCAACGTCAGCGGAATAAGACTACGGATGTTTAGTGAGTAGGATTGTACTCGTGTGATGTTTCTTTTGAGTGGAGCGCAGGATTACTTTTTATCTGTATAACGTTTCATAAATCTACAAATCACTTCACTTGTAATTAATCTAATATTAAAATATGCATTGTATTTCTTTTACAAATACAGATTATTTCAATTGAAAGATTCAAGCATGAAAAGCTTGATTACAATCATGATGTAAGGCTACATTACATATGCATCTATAAACAGTCTAGCTATGGTACTCTTTACAACAAAGTCTTTTGTTATCAACGGACTTTACGATAAAATGTTTACCATCTCCATGCAATGGTTTTTGGTTGCTGAATTTACTAGGTCTTCCTGTTGCTGATCTATTTCTGTCTAATACTACACTCTCAATAGGAATTTGCAAAAGGAATAATGCATTCTCGCGTCTGAAATCTAAGAGACTTTATATTTCCAGTAGTAAAAAGTAGTGATATTTAGTAAGTTTAGATACGGTCTCACCTCATATAATTTATCAGTATTGTCAATGTGACTATTGTCAAATGCAAATTCTGTTTCATATTCCTGTACATTTGATCAATGATCAAACGTGATATCGATTCTCGTACAACAGAAACAGAAATGTCCTTATCAAAAGACCTATACATTTTTTCTTGAGGTAAAGAATAATATGCTGTAAGCAATAATATTCCAATAAATCTTCTCATATAGGCTTCAAATGCAATAAATTCTGGGCTTTTTTTTTTCTTTCCTGAGCGTATATATTTGTCTGTTCAACGAGAAGAGAGTAAATGTCGAAACCAAAACGAAAATGGAAAATCTGTGCACTAGATTTACCTTGTATTTTGTCTTTTATAATTTTTCTTCTATCTCTTTCTTCGTGTTCTTCCTGAGACATAACTAACAGTTCCTTTTTTATCCACTTCAAAATTTCAATCTTCTGCTTTTTAAACTTTTTAGTATGACTATAACTGCTTTTAGAAGGCTGAAACTTCTAATTATTCTTATTATTCCCGTAAGAAGATTTCTTACGTGAATTTCAACTTCCCCAGCAGTATCATTTGGTAAAATATCATTATCATTATTTAAAACATTGCCATGCCTTTCTTCTTCGTCACTAGTTTCTGCAATTTCTGGGGGAACAACAACAATATCAGTTTCATTCTGGTCATTATTAACATTATCATCATTTGTTTCTGCATCAAAAAATCTTTGGAGGGCTTCTTCTAATGTAAGATACCTCGTTCTAGGCATTTTTAAACAACCAGAACATGAACAGACATCGAAAGGACTGAGTGAAAAGGAGATGACTACCCGTTTCTGCTGACGTTGCGTCAGCGCAACACCTGTTTTTCCTTGCTTCCCAACACAAATATAAACATCTGACTGATGTAATGTTCTGATAAACGGTGAACTTGACTAAAAATAAATCACTCATATAGACGGCGATTCTTTCGTTAAATATTTTCAGCAAAAATACCAGGTCGAAAATTTTGCTTAAATTTTGCTTAAAGTATGAGATTAATTATATAAACAAAATGATTGTTGAAGGCAAATATTTTTTTACAGAAATAATCTTCAGAATATTCCCTACACAAAATCATCTGGTAGTATAAAATATCTTAGGTAGTTATATTTATATACGCATTTTTTTTTACCGTTGCGACAACGCAACACCAGCGGCTAATGGGTTAATACTGTTTTGCTGCATTATAGGAAAATATTTTGCTCTAGTTTAAGTACAAGTAAATGTTAAACGCTTATTTATTGTAGACATTTACCACATATTTGTTCAATTTAAAAAACTTCATGTGGACAACATATGACTCCCTTGTACAGCCTATTAAATTATACACATTTCTTGCTGCACTTCATTTAAATTTATTTCTTCAAATTATTATAACTTAATTAACCAATGCTTCACGGAAAGCTGAGAACTGAAAATTTTGACATCAAAGATTGAAAATTTTGAAATAAAACTTTCCGTTCAATTTTGTCATAAGGGAGTCAAACTTCTTCTAATTTTATCTTCTCATAAAGACATAAATATAAGCATAGGAAACAGGATACTGCGTTGAAAATCAGATTTTGTTTTTACAAAGTTTGTACAAAGTACCATGTACAAAGTTTCAACTTTCCGCAACTGATCGTTTTTGAGTTATACGAGATACAACAGATGCGCGAGATACAGATGTCGCGGAAATATCAATTTTCAATCCTTTCTACAATTCGTTTTGGAAAAAGTAGTCTTCGTCCGTACGTACAGACATCATACGTACGTACATAGTCCAAATTGTTTCGGGAATGGTCAAAATAAATATTTTTGTTGAAATGTGGTACCCGAAATTTTCGCAATTACAATACTTCCTTTACTTTGTACAAGGAAGTAAAAAGGAGTAAAAATAATGAGATGAATCGATGAGTAAACCCATAATCACATTGATCATGAAAATTCATTTTTACACAAAAAATAACTGAAAATGGTTAATACCAAAAATAAGTTCTATTAATAACAATGCTATATCAACAACAAGTCAGCATATGAAACCTGCATGCACCGCACTCTTTGTAGCATCATTAGTAAAGATATTATTGTTATTTTAATACTAAATATAATTACAGATGAAAAATTAAAGTGTAATTTAAGTTCATCGTTCATACAGTTGAATTTAACTTTTCTGAAAGATTTAAAATATTAGCATCTGTCTTGACTCCCTACCGTTACTGCAATATTAATGAAAAGGTTTATAATCGACAAACCCTTTTTCTTTAGAATTAAATTAAATATTCCTTAATAATAAAAAGTATGTTTTAATATTGCAATTAAATACAATTTAAATATTTACATTTTAAAAACATCACAACATTAAATTTTACAAATAAGAAATTAGAGAAATTTCAAATTTAATATTATTAATTATTAAAGTTGCTTAGTATGTGGTAAAAGCAATTAAATAATCAAGAGATCTATTTCTGCGTTGCTATATATATGTACAAACACATGCAACGCAGAAAAGAAGTTTTCAAATACGTAGAATAAACACAGCTTTAAATTTAATGAAAATGCTATATATAAGGAACACCAATATTTCTCGATACGGCACGAAACATAATGACTACTATGATTTCAACTGGAAAATATCTCATACATTACCAGTTCGTTCGAAAACCTATTCAA